AAAAAAAGGGAAGGAGGGAGGGAATGAAAAAGGAGAAGAAAAAAACTAAAGTTAAGAAATATGATTTCCGACATTCTCTTCAACAGATAGTTACAATCTTATAGTCCTTCCTCCCACTTAGGTATTATACAAGTTCCTTCAGCCCCTCATTCTTCTTTTCCTTTCTCCTTCTACATAACCTATTCTCTCCTACTCTCTGTCTAACAGGTTACCAGGAAAAGAGCAGGTAACTTTTACCAGATTTCAGAACTATTTAATTGGAGAGGGCTTTTGGCTGCATTACAAAAGTCAAATAATAAGTTTGTCTAGTTCCTTTTATCCTGGCAGAGCCTTCCCTAGCCCTGCTACTTGAAACTATTTTAACTGACTGAACTTGGAAGGACTTTCTACATTCTACAATATGAAGCTATTACACTAAAGAACTGCTTCTCCTCAGGCATATCATAACTTATTATTTTGGCACAACTCTCATTCTAAAAAAGTGTAAAATTGAAGGTCAAACAAACATTCAAAAGGATTTAGATAATTCAGTACCAAAGAGGTGTATTGACTAGAAACCTGGGACCCAAAGAAATTAGAAACTTCTTCAGCCTCTCAAATATTGAGACAAGCAAATTAGTGAAACATTCTCTGCTTTTAAATTATACTTTTCTTTCTTTAGTCATATTACTTGGCTCAGTTATGTGAATTTAGTAACCTCAGTTTATCTGAATAATTTACATCTTATTCTAAGACATACCTGTAAAAAAAATAAAGAACCATATAAATCAGTGAGAATTATTTGAAAGTAAAGAGCTTAAGATCAAAGAATTAGACTATTGCTTTCTAAACAAAGAAAGCAAACGATCACTTGCCTGAAGAAACTGTGTATAGACAATACATGGGCTCCATTTATACTTATGCATAAGCATACTATACTTATGGGTTTCAAGCCATACTGTATGTCTTTAGCAAGTAACTATGTCTCAGCTTCAATTCTCTATTTCCAAAATAAGAGTAAGAGCTTAAAACAATTAATATTCTTATGAAAGCAATATAAAGTTATTTTAAATAACAACAGCAAGCTTTGCAACTTTATCATAATAACAGCAAATATTCCACTTGCCTGTTAGGAATTTAAATTTTTGACTAAAATTCAGTCTGAACCCAGAAACTGAACACAGAGAGGAAGGATGTACTCCCCACCCACCCACTCTACAATATTCCTCTTTTTTTCCACTGGGATCACCATACCTAATTCTGCAGCTGACTTGATATCCACATTGTCATAGCCACTGCCAATTCGCACAATGACCCGGAGAGCTTTGAACTTCTCCAGGTCCTGGCGCGACAAGGTAATGGTGTGGTACATCAGAGCCCCAACAGCTTCATTTAGAACCTAGGGGAAGACAGAACAACAGAATAATGCTTACTCCATAGCATTCAAACTAGTGAGTTCAGGATTCCGCAACCCCACTTATTATTTAACTTTCCAGCTCTGATCCATGTTCTGCTGTTCACTGAACTGCAAAGTACTCCAAGAAAGGAAAGGAACATGAAAGACATAAAGAGAATCTAATTGCTTCTACAAAAGGACAGACACCATCACTCCTTTCTTCCAAGTCCATTTACATTCACAGAAAAGAGAGAAAGAACTGTTTCTCTCCCGTCCCACTGGCCTTTCACACTTAAGCAGAACAGCAAGGTGCAGCATGCACTTTCCACAAAGTCTGCTAGGGTCAGAAAAAAGTCCACCCCTTCTCAGTTCTCTGAAGTTCCCATTGGTTTCCACAGAATTTGGTTCAAAACGAGGGTAGAAAGCAACTACAAATAATGGCTAGCTCTCAAAGCAACATTTATGAATTCTGGAACCAAATCACCAATTTTCATTGGAAAGTGAGATCGTCCCCCCTCCCCCCACATTTACCTTTTCGTGGATTTCCTGAGTTGACTGTGCATCACAGAAAGCTACTGTGGCAACATCTTTCAGGATAGGCATCTCTACAGTGCAGTCCCTGCCATCAAGGAGGGCAACCAATGGACGGGCTGGCATTGGACCATTACCAATAGGAGGTCTTATACCTTCAAAAAAAATAGCATTATTCACCCACAAATAAAAGTGAAAAGCATACTTCTACTAGTCCCACTAAGAATCAATTATGGCATCCAATATTTTAAGTGCCGGGGAAAATTCTAGAACAGCCAGATTACTGATAGAGAACTTCTTATAAATGCAAAAGATCTCAAATTCAAATTCTACAATTTTTCCAATAAG